AATAGATCTTGATTAAGATCTATTAATTCATCTTATTAATAAACTGAATATTACATCTGTCTTGAAATTACATATTGAAATTGGATTACATTCTAGCTAGTTACAACAAGAATATTATCATTACCTACCTTTAGATTAACTTGAAAATAATAGTAAAAATATTCTTGTTAATAAATCTTTTAAAGACTCTCCCAAATATTACTTTAAACATATAGTTGCTTTTATCACGTGTTTTTATAATATTAGGTTTAATACTCATCCTTCTCTCAGAACTCATATCAAAAAGGTAACAATACCTAATCAGAGAAATAGTAAGATCAAGATTATAAATATCATTGAGGATAGTTACAAAATAGCTATAACTTCACTCTCTAAAGATTTAGAAGAAGAGATTATCAGAGAGATAACTAAACAAATTTTACAGAATAAATATGAATTTAATAGAAGACAAGTGGATGATTTATTCTCTACCCAGAAAAATAGAAGTATATTTGAAGAGTTATTGTCCTGTAATAGAAATGTAAATATTGTAATTTCTAACAAACTCTTAAAAAGAATAGAGGAAGAAACTATTGGAGATATGATATATCAGCTTTTATAGGATAAGCTTAGCATTAGAGATGTAAGAGCTGAAGCTTATGTCTTAGCCTTATCAGCAAAAAATGCCAATGCTGATTTATCATATCTTTTCTGACTCTAAAGAGAATTAAAAAGCCTTGGTGTTTTATTCCAAATAATTGAGGTCATGAAATTTCCAGATATTACAGAAGATGCTAATAAAATTCAGAGAGATAATTGGAAAAAGACTGAAGCTAATTGTATTGACTATCCAGATAAATTTACATTAAAATTGGTCAAAGAAAGGTTAGATGCGTATGATTTAAAAACTCTATCTAATTATTAGGCTCTTGCTAATATCATGATGATGCTTTGTATTCATCCTGCTGAACTTAAAACTTTACATATTACAGATGCTGAAGTAATGAATTATGTAAAGAATCAAGATTAGCCAGATATTCCTAAAAAATTTAGATCTATAAAAAAGAATCAAGAATGAGCTAAAGAACTATTCAGTTGGATTCAGCATGCTATATCATCTGGATGAATGGATGATTCAGATAAGCCAGGAGTTAAATAATTCAATAGATTCTTAAAAAGATTATAATTTAATTCCTAAATATTACATAAATTAGGAGCAGTTTACAGTGCAGTAGTACATAAAGTTGAGAATCCAGTCCATGCCTATATAATTACTAGAGAATGTCTATGTCATTCATCTGATAACTATACTTCTTCAGTATAAAACTACATCATGGTAAATTATCAGAAGCAGGAACAAAAACCTGAAGAAGTGAGATCATTCCATCTCTATAATGATGATAACTAATCATGCTTATTTGCTTTCATCACTTTCACAGTAAAATCGTTATCATCATTAGATGATTCAAACTCAGATCCAGATTCAGATGTGGATGAGAACTCAGATGTGGTATTATTAAAAATTAGTTTTTTTTAGCTTTATATAAAATATGTTGCTGAGAAATATCCAGGTTTGCTATCACATTTATAATATTTTGCTGAATCTCAAGTTTCACTATCTTCAGTAATTGATAGAGAGAAACTCAGATTTTTTTATCTAATACTTGCCTATGAATACTGGATATTACCCTAATAGTATTCTGCTGATCTGTTAAAGACTTGGTTATTATTTTGATACATCTACGTAATTCTTGCAAATTAATTGATGTATCTAACTCTTTATAAAATTCTTAAGATGAGATAGTATTAGCTGTACCAGCTCTGTTAATATTATCTTTTATAACAGACTTAATATTATCTTCAGTTATTGTAAATGCAAAATTATTATTTATTAATACAAATTTAAAAATACAGAATTAAATATATTATTATAATAAAACATCATGATAAGAATTTTATCTTGCGAAATTAACAAAGTACCAGTTAAAACTATACTAGATATCGCTAGCAATTGTAATCTTATAGGCAGGGATTTAGTAGATATACTAGGCTTAGAGATTGATACTTCTCATAAAAAAGAAGCAAAACTATTAATCCCTTTTCCATCTGAAAAATTGCTAAATAATTTAAATGTAATAACATCCTCACATTATGAGACTATAGAAAATAGCATGATAATATTGGGAATGGTTCATAAAATAAACCCCTCTTTCTGGTCTAAAGATAATAAATAAAAACAGGTGGAAGTTAACAATATTTTAGTTCCTAATAAATCCAAATTTGCACATGTACTGTTATTAGGTTCATCATGGATCTAGGCAAATATCTCAGAAATGAATTTTTCCAATCATACTCTCACATTGCTTGATAGAACTAATGTATTATTGGATATTTCATGAGAGCTCCCACTACCAAAACAAATATCCATACCAGTAAAAGAATATTATAAGATGGTGAAATATTACATAACAGCATTAGATATAAATAATAACGAAATATATCTTAAGAAACACTTTCTCTGTGGATTATCTCATGATAACCAGATGGAAGCCAGAAGATACGGAACAGATCTATCATTAGATGAACTGGTTGCAAAGTTAAGCATGATTGAGAATATTAAAAAATAAATGATATATGTATCTAAATTAATTATCTGAACATTAGTTATTTCCGATATATACTAATTAATAATACCTAATTTACTTAATCTTCTTCCACCAGAATTAATACTATTCATAACAAAGTATCTTCTGATCCAAGATCTTAAAAATTGTTATAGTTTAAATGATATATGGAAAACTAAAGTAATTAGAGAAATTTGTAAAAGATTAATAGTGGACTGTACATTCGTTGATAAAAATACAACTGTTAAAGCATTTATTGATCTCAAATCCCAGTATAATAGTATTAGCAAAAAACTTGCCAAAAAAATGGATTTATATATTACTAAAATGTATGGATTAAAATATTCTGCAGTAAAAGACCTTGGCATTGATACAATAAATGCTAGTAAAAAAGTAATGATAAGAGGATGACTTCATGATGAAGAGATTTCTATTTCTTTATCCAATATCTTTGAGTTGGAATCCCCCTCATATTTGGATAAATCATATAAGTATTTCTTAGTCATTGACAAACCCAAATATGACTTAGTTTTGAAAAGTATATGGCTAACGAGATTAGATAACAGGATTAATGGGTGCAATAGGAGATATTGAAAATCTAATAAGAAAAAAAGAATATATTATACAAGAAATAACATTGATATAGTGTCTCCTTCATTATATATATTTTACAAATTATTATTTCCTAAATTTACCACAAATAATTCAGATGGTGAAGTTATATTAATTGAGTTTTCTGATTAAAATATGGAGAATACTCTAATTGATCTAAGTGAATATTACAATTCAGACTATTCCAAAACAGAATTTGAATCTAGCAATTCTGAGATAGAGTCCAAATCAAGTGATTCTGAAGTAGTAGATATATCTTCTCCAGTTATAAGTAGAATGATACAAGATAATAGCAGAGCTAGTGTCGAGATATATAATATTGATTTTATTTCCACATTCAATAATTTTCTCAGAGAGACTGGTGGTTTCAATCCTAATTATCCGTTTTGAGTTATAAATAATTATATTTAGTAGCAGGGAATGGGTAATTAATTATTAATTATTTTTTGGTTAAATATATATATTATATAATAGCAAAGCTAGTATCAAGACACATATAACTTACCATGACAGTAAAGATAATCAAAGCTAAAGTAGGAATGCAGAAAATTAATTGTTATCTCAAACCAGGATTTCTCAGAATCTCTATATATACTGATAAACTCCTCAAGAAAATAGATGGTAAAATTAATAGAAAGTTAACTCCTGAAGAAAAAGATAGCAAATTTATCAGAGAAGAAGCCACAATTCCACTTGGATTGGTTATAATTTCACTTACATTCACATCTAATATAAAAAATAATATCTGTCTTAATAATAAAAAATCTATCATGATTCTAATTGAAGTGTTGGTTGAAAGATATAGCTCTACATTACCTAACTATATCTTGCTTGGCAATAATTAGTTTTATAGTCAAAAATATAATGATGATGACCTCCAAATGTATATACCTGAAATTGTGACTGACACAGAAGATATCTGGATAAGAACTATATTGCATATCAAAGATCTTAATGCCAAGAAAGGGGGAAGGGTTATAGTATCCATCAATAAAAAAGATATTCATGATTTATACAAATTACTTTCTGGGAAATCGAAAGATTCAGACACTTCCAATTCAAATACTTCTTTTAATTCAAATACTTTAAACAGTAATTCAAGTAATTCTTTCACATCTAGTTCAGAAATAGAAGTTACACATACGCATAAGACTAGAGCAATAAAAAAATGTCCTATTCTCAAGCATAAAGTAAAAGGTAAAGTTAATTATCAAGCTTTATCTTAATATGTTTGATCATATATATAGCACAAAGTGAAACAAATTAATGATTAAAATTATACAAATAAATTACTTAAATGAATATTCTTATAATATCACCTGGTTAATCAAATTTGAATTGAGAAAATTAGTAAGTATATGGTACTATAGGTAAGTTTCATAATAATAGGTATAAAATGATGAGTAAATTCACCACTAATCTGATTCAGTATATCAATCTACTTAATCTAAATAAATATGAACATATATATGATCCTGAGAATAATTTTATTAGAGTCATGAATAAATTCACGGATAATATAACTGAAATGTTCAATCATACAGAATTATGAGAATATTTAGAGTTAAATCACCTGAGTTTATTGGCTTAAATCATTAACCAGAAAATTTCAATTACCAGCCAATCATATCATAAGAGAGATTGATATAAAAGTTCATGAAACATGCGATAATCATTTATTTTTTCATTTTATATACCATAAACTGCTAATCAAAAGCCCCGGGGTACTTAATATTTTTACTCTATTTAGTAGGGTACTTTACATAAGAGGGTATATTGGTCAGAAGAGGGGTACAACTATGTATAGTATCCAGGTATTACACTTGGATATTATATATTTTAGGAATACTTGTAGATCACAAATTTTTAATCACATACACGTAAAAAAATATGCTTTTTTATCAAAAAATAATTCGTGCAAATAAACCAAGTAAAAGAACAAGAGCAAGAGCAAGACCTACTTAAAAATTGCGTCAATCTTGATGTGTCAGAGAAAAGCTAATGGTTTTTCATTATCTTCAATACTATAAAAGTATCTGTAGAATAGCAAAAAAGTTTAATATTAAGCCCAAACAAGTACGTGACTGGAAAAACAAGATACAAGAATTAAGATTTGTAGTACCTCATATTTTAAAACTTCATAAAGAAAAGCCAGCTGCATACCCAGAATTAGAAATATTTTTGGCTGATTAGATTCAAGATATACGTAATTCTGGAAAAGCAGTTTAAAGAAAGATAGCAATCTGAAAAGTTATGTCTTTTGCGATAACAAATGAATGGAAAAATCATTATTCTAGAATTCAAGATTTCAAATTTTCAGAAAAGTGGCTTGATGTTTTTATGACTTGCCATAATTTATCTACTCGATAATGAATTACTATTGCTCAGCATCTTTCTGTTAATTTAATTAAAAAACAAGAAAGTTTTTTAAGCTTTGTTCTCTATCATCGAATTTAACATGACTATTCTTTGAAATTTATTAGCAATATGAATGAAACTCTATGTATATTTGATTATCTAGTTACAACAATAATTGACCAATGTGGAACTAAAACTGTCAATATTCATATAACTGGTAATGAAAAAAGAAATTTTACAGTGGTTTTAGCTTGTATGGCAGATGGCACAAAATTATTACCTTTGTGTATTTTCAAATTGAAAAAAGTTCCACGAGAAATCTTTCCTAAAGAGGTTTTTGTTCAAGCTAATGCAAAAGGATGGATGAATGAAGAAGAAATGTTATGATGGATTGAAAAGGTATGAACCAAAAGAAATTCCTATAGAAATTCACAATCTCTTCTTGTTCTAGATTCCTTTAAAGGACATCTAGTAGATAGTGTAAAATGATAATTTATTGAGAAAAACACAAATATTGTCTTAATTCCTGGAGATTTGATCTCAAAATTGCAATCTTTAGATGTTATAATTAATAAGTATTTCAAAGTAAAGGTAAGTTTATTCTTTTTTACTATATTAATATTATATATAATATTAATTTATTATTTTTAGATACGCAAGTTATATAATGATTAGATATTACAAGATATATGTCAACTTACTGTAGCCAGTTGAATCCAGAAATCATCCTATACCAAGTTAACAGAATGGGTCAAAACTGTGTGAGATGTTATTAATCCTGATCTTATTATGCAAGCATTTAAATGTTATGGAGTTTTAACTGAAACAGATGGTTCAGAAAATAATTTATTATTTGATTATGATCAGATAAGCAGTATAACTGAGGATTATACAATGGTAAATATTACTCAAGAGGAAGAAGAAAAAGTAAATGTGGATTTAAATTATAATTTAGAGGATGAGACATATCAAAATAATTAGAATAATGAAATAAGTGAAAGTCTACCTCAAATTGTTAGTGTAGATAAAGATTTATTAAATGATGCAACAGGTAATGCAGGTAAAGATTTATTGCATAATGCATATGATATGATGGATAATACAAGTAAAAATTTATATCAAAGTTTTAGTAATGAGGAAGAAATTGAATATTAATATTTTATTATATTATCAATAGGCTTTTTGTATATATGTAGAATGCTGAACATTACATTCTTTTTTCTTTTTACTCTAATAATAATAATTAGGTATGATCGTAATAGGAATGCTTTACAAGCTGTTACACTATGCTTAAATTTCTAAGCCACCTACTATGTTTAGTACCTGGAGTACTTAATAAATCATGCTTAAATTTTTAATACATATACCATGCATAGTACCTGGATACTTTACAAAAATAGGGTGCCAAAAAGGAAGAGGGTACTTTAGTCAGAGGGATACTTTGGTCAGCAGTTTATGGTATGGATAAATCAACTGAAAAATCTTTTGATAAAAAAGCCAAAAAAGTGACTAAAGCAGAGAACTCTATCATATTAAAAAGACTTATCTGTAAGTTATCTTTTGATATCACTCGAATTTCTGAAATTAGGGAAAAGAAGAGACTCCATAGACAATCTGCACAAGAAGTAGAGGGTTCCAAAAATTTTTTTGATTTGTATCTAAAAATTTCAAAGGCAGAAGAACAAAACAAAAATGCACATCATGACGTCATAAAGAGCTATTATAATTTTGAAGAGGAACTAGAGAAACGTCTCACTCAGTATAGAGAAGCAAATGAGAAGCATGAGGCTCTAAAGAAGCTCTATGATGAAGTTAGAGATCAGCTTCCTAAAGAGGTTACCAAAAATGCTCTTCGAAAAAAAGTAGACAGGGCGAGAAAGATTTATGATCTTTTTTTCGTATTACTGATGATAAAATTCAACGGGTAGTATTCATCCAACGAATTAAAACGTTTTCGGCAACATCTATTTCAAATTTAAGTTCGGATAATATCAAATATGTAGCATCTCATGTTAGAAAGAATACTCAAGTATAAAGTGCAGTTGTCATGTGATGACAGAATTCCGAGATCGAGCCATAATGGCGTGTTCTCGAAGTTTGGCACTTTTTTTATATGTAGTATTGTAAGGCATTATGCTTATTAAATAAATAATCAATAAAGTTTACCAATATTAGGTCTTGTATTTTTTAACATGAATGCGGGTAGTTTGGGTGTGATATGTACTTATTACAGGGATATGCGGTCGTGATTCAATCGTGATTGGTGCATTTTTTCAGCAAATCGGATGATCGTCATATATACCCCTTACGCGCTTTTTTTTTTATCGCAAAAGTATATTAATTTTCCTCCCATGACAACAACCTATTTTGATACGCCTTCCGAAGAATGGAGCTTCATCGGTTACTACAAACACCGTCGTAATGAAAGCAACTTCACCTTTTCTTTCAGGAAGGAGTCGTTTTTACTCAAGAAATATCTTGAATCCCACCAAGAAAAAATACCAAGGGCCAAACAGTTGGCAGAAGCATTTAAGGTTTGATTTATTCCTCTTTGTTATGAAGCAGTATGAGGTTTTTGCCAAGTTGCTTGCGACTTCCACGACTATGAGGACGTTCTACGCGCCGTTCCTCTAATATTCTACGTGAATGTTGTGGTGTGTGGGAACCTCAGAAGCCACTTATGGCTCTCACAACTATGAGAACGTTCTACGCGCCGTTCCTCTAATATTCTACGTGAATGTTGTGGTCTGAACTAAATATTCTTTCATTAGTACCATACAGCATCTTAGGCATTACAAATTTTTATATTAATGTATTTCGTCTCTTTTTGGTTAGAATCATCGACAGCATAATGAGGAAGTCAACATTTTCTGGAACGAAATCGAACATACGTGTCTAGAGCAGGAAGGAACTTTGCGAACAGTAAATATACTTTTCGTTGAATAACTCCCTAGCTTTTTCTAACTGATATACATATAGCTACGATGTCATGTCAATATAAGAAGTAAGACACAAGATATGATGGAGAACATGGCCGAGGAGACAGTAGAAGAAGCCGAGGTTTGCTGATGTCATGATATTAACATAAATTACACATTGTATTTTGTTTTACTTACATATCTATATCTCTTTTCCTCGTAGCTCAAGAATGCAAGCAAGCGATTACATTCCGAGTTCTCGAGATGTGAACAAAATGAGGTCAGTATATAACTTAAATTTAATTAGCAAAAATATCTGCTAACTCTTTGAATGCATAGATCAGAACCTCCAATAGAATGTCCCCGAATGAGAGCCGATCCACAATAAGAGATTCAAAGATAATGTTGGAAGCTTTTGATGAAAATGTTGCGTCGGATCTGAAAGAGAAAGCTCAACGATCTACCACACCTTTTCTGCCGAAAAAACGTGCGCGCAACACACAGCAAGAGGCTGAAAAAGATGTTACAGATGAAGATTTAGCGAATTCAGTGATTGATGCCTCCAACACTTTCGGCAAAGTTGAATTTCCGTCATATTATAGTAAACTTAAATCTATCTGGAACAATCAAGATGCTACGAACTATCATGTTATCGATTTAGGGGATAAAGATACATTATATCAGGTTCATGACCTTTTAGATGAGGATGAGTTGAAAGCGTTGTTTAAAAGGTTAATGTTGGATGATGAAGATATGCACATAAATGAAAAGGCACGTAAATATATAGAGCTGTTTGATCAGATTATGGAGGAAGAGAATTTGGAAGATATTTGTGATGACGAAGTTGTGGACGAAGTAGCTGGCAGTGATCTTGTAGATGAAAATAATGAAGAGACAAAAAATATGGAAGGAGATAACGAAAAGTTTAACAAATCAATTGCTAAAATGAAGGAAATCGTGCACCAATTAGATGGCTTACCCGAAAAATATCACTACCTATCCAATACTTTTCCCATGTCAGCACAATATTATGATCAATCTAAAATGTCTGATATGTTTATTGTTAAGAGCGTATCTAGTCACCTTGATACTATCATAAAGATGAATGGTGCTATGAAAAATACCCCTGAACGTACATGGACAGCTCACGTATTAGCATATCTGTTTTTTGTTACATTTTGTTTTATCGACTCATTACATTATTTTTCATGTGATCGAAGTATTTCTACAAAAATAGATGTTCAAGAAAATGGTTTTAAAGCTGATGGTGTATTGGAGTTTTTTGAGCGACCCATGCAAATTCCATTGTTTTTGCTCGAGGTATCGGAAGGTCCCAATAATCCGGACCCAGATAAAATTAATGAAGATAGGCAAAAGTTGATGAATGAGGGTGTTTTTGCCATCAATAAGTTTATGACAAGAACGGGACTGCCAACGTGGGAAGTATGTAGTACATTGAAGGTTTTCTTGGCTCAAGGATTTGGTAAGTTTTCAAATGCTCGCAAACATTTCTATGTTTTAGTATATAATATAGATTACTTGTTCTCAGGTGATAATATTGAAATTGGTCAAATGATATTTATTGGACCTGAATTGTACTTGTTCTCACCATTTACGATTCCACGGATTGATTTTTTTAAAATTGGATGAGCTTATTTTGTACGATCATATATTTCCAAAGAGGATATTAATGTGATTAAATTCGTTTATAGCATTGCTGTATAAATGTAATTAGTGTTACAAAAAATAATGCACTCAGATTTCCCAATGTAAATATATGGATCACACTGCGATCACGTCCCATTACGGGCTACATTACGCTCGATTTCATATACATAATCGCGTTTGCTTTTGCATGTGTATTTCGGGATTTTATTATGTTGTATAAATATCGATGTAATCAAGAATTCTCTTAGTATAAAGTTTCTTACATAGCATATATACATGTATATTTTTCTATATTAAACGGACTTTTGAACATATCTACGTCTTATATAAAAATGGCAGATATACAATCCAAAATCGATTCATTGAAAGAATTAAATTCGAAGCTCTTAGTCGAGATTGCTAATCTTAGAAAGGAGAATGCTGAAATTCCCGAACTTAGAAAGAAATATGCTGAGGTCGAGGCTGAAAACGTGAAGTTAAGACAGGTTATAGAAGAGAGCATTAAGCTTAAAATCAGGTTTGAAGAGTTAGAGAAAAAAAATAAAACAGATACTGCCAAGCTCACTGCCGAGAATACTGAGCTTAAAGATAGAGTCACGAAATTGGAACGGAAGCAAACTCAGGTCATTATTAATGTACCAAAAGCATCTTCTACAAAAGATATTCCGCAACCTATCGACTCACGGAGTGAGGGCACTAACGTGCCTGAAGAAATGATTATTCCTGATGAAATAGAACATAGCCCAGCGAAATCTGAATCTTTAACGGAACTTGAAGAATCAGAGATTCAATGCTCTGCATCACCCTCTGCAACCTCTTTACCACAAGATGATATATCCAAACAAATGTCAGAAAACATATCTGATATATCTGATATCGCTTCAAATTCTGGCGTATGTCAGAAGTCGAAGACTTATAAATCATTGGAAGATAAGGTGATCGATAAATTCCTGGATGAGGTGCATAAAGAAAAGGTAAGTAATGAAATAAAAGAAAGAAATCGAGAAAAAAAGCTTCAAGAAGAGTCAAAGACTCGTTGTAAAACATCCTCCAAGATCTATCATATGGTAGTACAGAAACCATTCTCTCAAAAAACGATCAAGATGGAAATTTATGTAATATCAAAACCGTTCCCTTGGGGAACGATCGAGATGTAAATTTATCATGTGATACAAAGACTATTAGTTCAGAAATATCTAAATTAGAGCAAGATGTCGAGTGTGATAAAAATGAAATCGTAGAGCAGGGTTTGATAGAAGAATTATATTTATCTACTGATAAGCAATGCCTCATTGATTCCACTGTTGATTCTGCTATAGGTAATACCAACTCTACAGAAAATAAAGGTCCAGCTCAACATCTATCTTATTTATTTAAAATGGCAATCAAATCTCAACAACAGGAAATCTTAAACTGGTATTATTATTCCCTTGAATTTGAAAACAGGATTCATATTATTACAGCTGATGGTAAGATCAAAGACAAAATAGCAAGAATGATGATTTATAAAGAAATGAAACCATTTCTTCCTAATATCACTCAAGATAACTTGCGTAAAAAACTCTTAGAGCTAGAAAACTTCTTATGTTATTCAGAGAAAATGGTATTGGAATAGATAAAATTAAGCTGATTACATATAGTGCAAATGAGATTTCAAAATTGACTAATGTACAAATTCAGAATATTATAAATCAAGTGAAATTGAAAACTGTTTCTCCGGGGAACAATCAAGTTTTATTAGAAACCAAGGTAAATATTATAATCACTTCCTCTAATTCGATAAGTAAAGAGATTGATCGAGATTCTGATCTATCAGAAGTCAAGATACAGGTAAGTGTACCTGATGACTCATGGAGTAGAGATGCTATCGCATCTAAAGATTCCAACTATAAATACAATTTTGAAGATTCCTTTGATAACAATAAAGATGATTCACAGAGCGAGAATGCTAATGCATCTAAAGATAATGATAGGTTCTGTGGATTTTTTGATAATGATGATAAAGATTATTATTATGATTTAAATACCAGTAAGACTTGTATAAAATCTGAATATCGTTATTCAATTCGTGCATATTAATAATAATTCCAGCACATGTTATTTATGAAACCTAATTTTCAGATACATATCTCAATTGGTAATTAGATATTTTTTTTATCAATCACAAAATCTCAGAGATAATGAATTGAAAGATAGAATTTCTGCTTGTGATGAGCCCAGATTTAAGAAGTGATACGTGCAAGAAAAAATTACCAAAAAATAACAGATTTATATGTATTTTATATTGTATTAATAAAGTAATCAGCCTAAATAGTCATTCTTTTTTTTCTGATATTAATTTTGTATGTGGTGATAAGAGGTATTTTCCTTGATTTTATATGAAAGAGTGGTTGACTACCTACATCGTGCATACTAATATCACTTTCATTTTGAGATAAGGACATATTTAGTAAATTAGGGGTTAAATTATTACCAGAGTTAGCTACTTTGTGGCTAGAAATGACATAGCTCTGATTCATTTCTGGAAAATTGGCATGAGCTAGCCTCAGGCTAATATTTTGCACTTTATCTGTGGTCTCATAAGGTGATGATTGAAGAGTTGATATTTTAGGATTTATCACATCAGGATTATTTATATTAGTATTTATTATATCACGGGATAGGAATGCTGATCGTCTATGACTTCTTCAACTATCAACCAAATTTCTTCAGCTTCTTTAATTCCCTAGCAATGTTTGACCTAATTCATGTTCAATCTTCTTGATAGATAGTGCTGGTATTATATTTTCTAAATCTCTATTTCACCTACAGTTTGTGATATTAATAATATGAATTCTATCAAATTCATCTTTAGGCCTCTTCCAAAAATGCGTACAAAACTCATCAAAATATTGCGTACCCATTCGACTTCTTCATGTTCTTCGATTCTCTGCTATATAATCACATATCAACTAATTGATGTAAATTATTAGTCATAATAGCTAAGATGTAAACAAAAAAATAATATACCATACATACATTATAATCCTGAACAAGATTCATAAACTTTTCTTTATATTGATATCTATTAAAGCTCGTATTATATTCTCTATTAATTCTGGTTGCAATGTTATTCCAAAATCCGATTCGATTTCTTCCAAAATTATGATATTCTTCATTTCTATTTCTACGCTCATACATATTTGAGAATCAGTCTATTCAACTATTTTTATAATATTTATTCTGACAAGCCAAAAGATGCCCTACATGATATAAATAGACTGCAAGAAGATGGGATTTTATTACTTTTATAAGTATATCTTATGTATTTTAATAGTACTTTGACAGTACTTTAACCATACATCCGTAATTATATTAAGATATATGTGCTTGGTACTAGCTTTGCTATTGTATAATTTATTGCTTTTCCAACTACACTTCAACATTATTTCAATCATGTTTTAACAGTATAAATCTATGGATGTTTATTTACTTTTTTTACATAAAAGTAGTATAATTAATCAAATACGTATATCTCAGATTTGCATATCTCAGATTTGTCTATCTCAGACCAGGCGATCTCAAATAGTAAGTGACATATATTCTTATTGCTAGAAAATTAATATGCTTATAATTCACTGAAATAGATTATGCGACATATTAAAAATAGATCATATATATCTACATATCTCTCCTATTCTCATAGTATACATCACTTATAAAATATGATGATTATAACACTCTTGAAGAGATAGTTTGAGAATCTAGACCTTATGGGGTGCTCTTCAAGCATCACATAAAATTTAAATTATATATTCTAGAGTATATAGTTATTAATCAAATAGGTCTAAATATTCTAAATACAATATAATCAATAAATATATCTGGTTTTGATATTACTACTATTATTGATAAAAAAGATAAAACACTTCCTAAACCATATATTAATCATCCTGGTTTTGATATGAAGTATACTGTGTCATATATATCACATTATGGTAGAACTTATGCTAATAAACTCAATCAAATTTTCGATAATAAGAGATTATTTGATATTTTATCTACTATAAAACAGAATGAAACATCTGTTCAATAGGTAATACGAGTAAGAATTCTATTATAAAATTTGTTAAATTCAGGAAAATTTAGTGTATATCATTGATATTATTTATTTATGTCATTTGGTAAAGGTAAATTTGTTAATTTCAATTATTATAGATCAAGAATCCACAAAAGTTATATGGTAATTTGCTTTGATTGCTGGAAACTCATAAAAATCGATGATTTAAATCCTAAAAAATTATTCTATTTTACTAGACAGAGATATGTTAATTATTTCAAACCTAAAGATCTGATGCAGGAATATTAAAATCACAAATGTAATAAATCAAAGACTGATTTCAGAAAAGCAAGAATTATACAAAGAGCTTGGAAAAATTACAAATAGAGGTCTGAATTATTAGCAATCCAAGCTTGGAATGCAATAAGAAATGATAATATTTCAGATGATAAGAAATTTCTAGGTTTAACTAGTCATAAAGTGAAAAATTCTCAAACTTAAGATTAATTCAATTAGTGAAAAGCTGAGAAAATTACTATGTATAAAAAATATAATAACTCACAAATACTTAGTTTCTTTCATAATAGTAAATATGAAGAATATTACATTCTATATGATTGGATAGGTAGAAAGAAAAACCAATTATGAGATAGATTTAGTAAGCATTTCCAATAATTAAAAGTATAATATATTAATACCTATCATATTTACTATATTTATTCAATTTATCAACCCCATCTTCTCATGATTCTATTACTTGAAGTCAGAAAAGTGGATATAAAATGTGTTATAAACAGTAGATAGAGCAGAGCTCATTATTATATAATATAACACATATCTTTTATTATGGAATAATAGTACTTACGTACCTCTAAATATTTTTTTATGGTATAGTTATGAGTCTTATTATGAAATAATAGTATTTACGTACCTGACTCTATTTTAATTTTTATATGTTAATCCATTTTCATCTAACACAAAAATCTCTAGTAATGATAATAGATTATGCTTGTTATTATTGCACATTCACTCTAACTTCAAATATGGCAAGTTTCAGTCAACTCAAAAATATAAGTGACAGATAGGATATATTAATATTAATAGAATAAAATTACAACTGAAAAAATATTCTATTATTAAACTAACTATATAAATGTAATTTTATCATAACCTATATAGATCACAAAATTCAATCTAATATTAGCTCTATTGCTGGTTTTTTACTTAATAGATAGTAGATTGATTCATCAGAAATAAATAGATATTTCTTTGTATTGAAAACTAATAAATTTGAATAGTGATGTGTAATTTTATATATTATTTTGTCAGTGATATAAATATATTGAAAACTAAGATTCTGAATATTTGAACATGAATGGACTATACTACATATAGTATCATTTGTAATTTTATAACAGGAAGTGAGAATAAGCTTTTGCACATTTCAATTTAACTATGCAGTTTTTTTGATTGATTTATCAGTTATTCATTCACAGTCTTCAAGAAAATAATTTTATATATCTGGATAGTCAGTTGTAATCACACTTATAGCTTTATCCATAATTATTTCATTAAATAACAAATCCAGATATTGAAGATTTACACATGAGCATGCAATTATACAAATTGATTCATTATTAATAGAAGGTTATCTATTGAGGTTTAAATATACTATATTAGGACAAGATCATGCTATTTCAATCACAGATGTACTGAAAATATTACTATTTCTATATAAAGAAGTGAGACTTATGTATTTTAAATTTGGACAAAATTGTATTATTTACTAATGTATCTATTAATAATAGCTGTACACGTATCAAGACTCAGATGTAGTAGCTTCAGATAATATTTTACAATTTTTATAATTGGTATATTACTAAAATCATAACTTCGATCAAGAATAAGAAAGTTTATATTTGGGCATGAGCATAAAATTTCATGAAGTAATGCATCTGAGATTTTTAAATCTATCAATTTGAGATACACCATCTTTGAGTAATAGTGAGATTTTGTCTTTTCACATATAACTCTTTTAAACTTTCTTAATTACCAATAAAGAGATTCAGATATATTTTTATTACATTAGTTTTACTGATAATCTTCTATAGAAAACTCAATATGTCTCCATAGAATTGGAGCACTGCAGTGATACCAAAGGTGATTGACAAATAAAGCAGAATAGAATGCTTTATTCTTGGCTAAGATACTGAATATATTTTTGAGTAACTCTGAAATAATGAGAGGATGGACCATGTTTATTTTTATATAAGTATTAGAAAACTTGAAGTGGTTTTTATATTTGATATCACACTTTATTTATCTAATTTTAATGGGGTATCCCAATCTAATCTAATAGCAAGTAAATCATCTACTGCCTTGGTAAAATCAAAAACTATGAATTCTCAATCCTGCAAATACTTATCAATAATCTTGGATATTTTTTTTGAATCATCTGTATATTAATGTATGATTCTACTAATATTATCTCTACTATCTAATTCTCAAAATAGACATAAATATGAGATATTTTCACAAATAATTTTAGATATTTGTATATATTTTTGGCTCACATATATAGATGAGATATTTTGATGCCAGTCACTAATAAAGTAAGGAATAATTCATTCTTATACTTTTTTGGGTTTGGCATATAGATCCTCAAAAATAATAATTATACTTTATTCCAGAGAGAATTTAGTTATATTTGGAATCTTATCTGATAATATCTATTTAAATATAACATCTTTTTGATATGATTTTGAAGCATTTGCAAAAATCTGATAGTTATTTTGTATAAGTCATCATTTTGGTTCAAAATGTTTAGCTACTAATCTGAGATCATCATTTTTAATATACCATTCACCTTTTTTTTCATTGAATATACATTATAGTTTGTCACCAAGCATGAAATTTATTTCTATATTAGTTTTTCCACTATTTGAGCTTTTATTTATAAGCATCCTAAATGGACAGTCTGGCAAATACTTATTATCCTTCATTCATTTTGATAACTTTTTAGATATCTCATTGATATTAT